TCCAGTTGGAGAAGGACTGGAGAAGTGTTCTGAGGCAGGTAGACAAAGCTGAGGATGCCAGGGTGACACCTGGACTTCGGTCTTGGTTGGAGGGAAGGTCCGTGATTAAACCCCACCCAGTCCAGAATTCTCTACTGTCTCCTCCAGGGTGGGGACGCAGGAGGAGAAGGGTAGCCCCGACGGCTTGGGGTCTCTGAGCCTGGGGGTGCTGGAGGACTGAACAGCCTCTGCTAATTGGATCTGAAAAAGCTTTGGGCAGCAGAGAAATGGCTTGAGTGGCCTGCAGGCCCCAGCCAGCTAGGTGCCCCCTGTGCATCCATCCAGGCCGGTGCTCCCAGGAGCCCCTCTGCCGGAGCCCCCAGTCCCCAGCTGAGCTGCCTGGGGAGGAGCAGGGCCTGATGCTGGGGCGTCCGCTCACCACCTGCCTGTCTCTGGAGGGCAGAATCAGTACCACTCAGGTCTCCAGTGCCCCCACTTCCAACACTCCTTTTCGGGGCCCCCACTTTGTAGAGCCCTAGATGCAGCTGTGGGGAGACTGAGAAACTTAGTCACCTGATGAGAGACTTCCCAAAGTTACAACAACGACAGTCTGAGTGACCTGGCACTCATTGCAGGCAGACCCTGTGTCAAAACACCCAGGACGTAGCCACTCTGTGAGCCTCTCAAGAGCCCCAGGAGGTAGAAACAATCATCAATGCTCCCATTTTACAGATAAGAAGATGGAGGCACTCCAGACATTGAGTTGCCCAGGCCTGCTGATGCCGAAGCTTGAAGGACATGGCTTGTTTAGTCAGTCAAATACAAAATGGAACCACACGAACCAAGTGCTCCCCCAGAGGACAGAGCCTGAGGCCGAGAGCTACGGCAGCCACCTGGGGCCCCCAGGAACTGTGCTGGGGCTTTCCCTCCTGTTATCAGCACCCCAAGACACCCCAGACCCAATTAGCACTAAGAGATGTTGGTGGCTGAATTCTCCCCGTTCGCTTCAGAGAAATCGTGCCAAAAATTATTTTGGCCACTTTGTAGAATAGGAACAAGAGCCCAGCAAGGTTAAGTGACTTTTGTAAGGAGAACCAGGCAGAGCCAGGATTCAAACCCAGGCAGGACTCTGAAGTACAGTTCTTTCCACCATCCTAAGCAGCTTCTGGAAGTTGATCAAGAGCTCTGGGGACCAGGATAACCCCCAAATCCCCTGAAGACTCTTTCCTGAGAAGCCCTAGAGGTCAACCTTTTGGGGGGGGCTATAGAATTGAGAAGTTGGGCATCTCTGATCTCGAGGCGTCACCCTAAAAAAGCATCCTGCTTGGAGTCAGGTGCCGCAGTGGCTCCCTGAGGCAGCATGGCTGCAGAAAGGAGGCAGGTTACGGGCAAGCCCTCTAGGGTCTCAGTCTGGCCCAGGCCAGGTCCTTCTTTTCAACTTCCTCTGTGTGCCTCGAGCCCCCAGGGCTTGGCCCCCATGGCACCCTCCCTCTGCTTTGCCCACCACCCTCTTGGGCTGGAGCCCACCAAACCCCTCGTTCACCCATGAGGCCTGTAAACCACTTTATTAGATCAAAACAAACATCTGCCACAGAAGAAAAGCAAAACCTTAATTAGAGGCCGCTGGGGATGTTTGCAGAGACAGATGGGAGAGGATCTAATGAAATCACCTTGTACCGGCCTCTGTGCAGACCTCACAGATAAAACACCACTGCCCGGCAACGGAGCTTCGCTACCTGGAGGCCCGATAAGGGGCTTGGAGGAGCTGCGTGTTTGGAAAATATGATTTTGTAAGCAGGGCCCGGGGTATGTTGACTCTGTCCGAGGCCCTGCACTCCCCATCAGATGAGCAGCTGCCACTTTCCCTGGGGTGCAGGCAGGAAGCTGCTCCTAAGGACCCCCTGGCAGGGACTCCCAGGTGCACATGTCCTGAGCCCCAGCCAGAGGAGCAGTCGGTCACTCCCTGGGATCTGGTGTTTAACAAAGGGGACATTTCGGAGCACCTGGTACCCGTAGTGGCAACAGCTTTCTCTTTCCCTGACTCCTGGTTCAGAAGCATCTCTGTAGGCACCTTGGAATGAAGTGAGGGGTTAGGGCTGCCAGGAGCCTGCCAGGCTTGGTAGGCACATCTGCACAATGCCTTGTAGCCTCTGGGTGACTCCCACCTTCTGCTGTGCATCTTCTCCCAGGGACTCCCACTTTCCCCAAGTAAAAATCAAAATCTTCACCAAGGCCCCCTAGGCCCTACATGATCTGGCTCAACACTCCTGTCTCATCCTTGACTACTCTCTGCCTCACTCACTCTCTTCCAGCCGCCTTGGCCTCTTTGATCTGCCTCAAACCTCCCAAGTGTACTCCTGCCCCAGGGCCTTGGCGCTGGCTATTCATTCTGCCCAGAATGTTCTCCCAGATATCCACAAGGCTCTCTCCCTTGAAGTCCTCACTCAAATTACCCTGAAGTCCTCACCCAAGTTACCATCTCAATGGGGCCTATCCTGACCACCCATTTGATGAGGCCACACCCTCCCACCCTGCTTTTCCCAAGACCCTTACTCTCCTGCTTCTTCATTTTCCCCAGCATCACTACTTTCTAACCTACCGCATAAAGTGCTTATTTATGTTTTATTGCTTTTAAACCACTTTTTAAAATTGAAGTATGTGTTAGTTACAATGCTGTGTTAGTTCAGGTGTATAGGAAAGTGATTCAATTATTCATCAATCTCTATCTGTTTATTTTTAGATTATTTTCCATTATAGGCTATTATAAGACATTGAATATAACTCCTAGTGCTATACAGTGGTTCCTTGCTGTTTATCTATTTTATATAGAATGGGAAACACTAGAGATCTCTTCAAGAAAATTAGAGATATCAAGGGAACATTTCATGCAAAGATGGGCACAGTAAAGGACAGAAACAGTAAGGACCTAATAGAAGCAGAAGTGATTAGGAAGAGGTGGCAAGAATACACAGAAGAACTATACAAAAAATGACCCAGGTAACCATGGTGGGCACTTACCTAGAGCCAAACATCCTGGAGTGTGAAGCCAAGTGGGCTTTAGGAAGCATTACTACAAATAAAGCTAGTGGAGGGGATAGAATTCCAGCTGAGCTATTTAAAATCCTAAGAGATGACACTGTGAAAGTGCTGCACTCAACATGCCAGCAAATTTAGAAAACTCAGCAATGGCCACAGAACTGGAAAAGGTCAGTTTTCATTCCAATCCCAAAGAAGAGCAATGCCAAAGAATGTCCAAACTACTATACAACTGTTGTGTTCATTTCACATGCTAGCAAGGTAATGCCCCAATCCTTCAAACTAGGCTTCAGCAGTAATTGAACTGAGAATTTCCAGATGTACAAGCTGGGTTTATAAAAGGCAGAGGAACCAGAAATCAAACTGCCATCATTCATGGATCATGGAGAAAGCAAGAGAGTTCCAGAAAAGCATCTGTTTCTGATTCATTGACTACACTATAACCTTTCACTGTGTGGATCACAACAAACTGTGGAAAATTCTTTAAGAGATGGGAGTACCAGACCACTTTACCTATCTCCTGAGAAATCTGTATGTGGGTCAAGAAGCAACAGTTAGAACCAGACATGGAAGAACTGATTGGTTCCAAATTGGAAAAGGAAAACAAGGCTGTATATTGTCACCCTGTTTATTTAACTTATATACAGAGTACATCATGCAAAATCCTGGGCTAGATGAATCCCAAGCCAGAATCAAGATTGCCGGGAGAAATATCAACAGCCTCAGATAGGCAGATGATACCATTCTAATGGCAGAATGCAAAGAGGAACTAAAGAGCCTCTTGATGAGGGTGAAGGAGGAGAGTGAAAAAGTTGGCTTAAAACTCAACACTCAAGAAACTAAGATCATGACATCCAATCCCATCACTTCACTGCAAATGGGGGGAAAATGTAAGTGGTGACAGATTTTATTTTCTTGGACTCCAAAATCACAGAAGACAGTGACCACAGTCATGAAATTAAAAGATGCTTGATCCTTGGAAGAAAAGCTATGACAAACCTAGACAGTGTATTAAAAGCAGAGACATCACTTTGCCAATAAAAGTCCACATAGTCAAAGCTATGGTTTATTCCAGGAGCCACATATGGATGTGAGAGTCAGCCCATAAAGAAGGCTGAATGCCAAAGAACTGATGCTTTCAAATTGTGTGCTGGAGAAGACTTTTGAGAGTCTCTTGGCCAGCAAAGAGATCAAACTAGGCAATCCTAAAGGAAATCAACCCTGAATATTCATTGGAAGGACTGATGCTGAAGCTGAAGCTCTAGTACTTTGGCCACCTGATGTGAAGAACTGACTCATTGGAGAAGACCCTGATGCTGGGAAAGACTGAAGGCAAAAGAAGGGAATGGCAGAGGATGAGATGGTTAGATAGCATCACTGACTCAATGGACATGAGTTTGAGCAAATTCCAGAAGATAGTGGAGGACAGAGGAGCCTGGCGTGCTCCATGGGGTTGCAACCAGTTGGACACGACTTAACGACTGAACAAGTCACATCAAGGTCCTTAGCTGCAAGGGCACCTGGGAAATGTAGTTCTTTCCTACCTCTACCCCACAACCCCTAGCTGAGAGGGTTGGAATGGGAGTTGAACAATCTAATCCACAGTGCTCTCCATATGCTCACAAGGTAGAGAGTTCCTGACTTTGCTTTGCCCCCTGCCTCTTGCTATCAGTGAGCTATACTACAGCTCCTGCCACCCCCTCAGCTCACTGCTTCATCTAACATACAAAACCAAGGCAGTATATATACTTAGCTATAATCATAACACAATCTGCGCGTGGATCAAAATTTGGCAGCAAATCTGGGAAACTGTCATGGGGAGCCACGAGCAGTGGGTAGATTGAGAAATACTGGTTCCCTGGTGCTCCAACATGAGCCTAAGATGGGCTGCTAAACCCATCTTCAGAGCAGATCCTCCTCCTCTCTGATTCCCTCTTACTGCATAATTGATGGAGAGTTAACCACACCTTGGCTTTCTGTCCCAGGTCTTTGCATTTCAGCAGGAGTGATTCACAGAGAAATTTGTCTGAGGGAAAAGACGAAAACTTGATCATGAGCATCAGATGAGAGGTATTCGCTTTAACCAGAAGCAGCTCCAGAAAATCAAGATAAGAGGCACTCAGGAGCAGCGATCTGATTAGAAATCAGATTGCTGGCTAGAGAACTTGTTCAAAGATTTATATATAAAGCCATGACCTGCTTTTTATGGAGATCGCATGTATAGACTTGGAGCAATAAAAAGAGCCTTCCTCCATGCTTCGTCCTTTACCTAAAGCTGAAAAAACATCAATCGTCTCTCTCTAATATGAGAAACCTTAGAAAGCCTGAAGGCAGTAGTTTGGGATGGGGGTTGTTGGTAAAGACCAGTTAAATATAAGGTTGCTAGAGGGCATAAGGCATGGCAAAGGGAGGGTGGGGTGGTACAAGACAGATGGCTGGTCCCCTCACGCCACCATTTCCTAGCTGTGTGACCTTGGAAGAGTTCCTCTATCTCTCTGAGCTTCAGCTTCTGCATATGAAAAGCAGAGATGTGGATATCTTAGCCACGGGTTTGTTGTAAAGATGAAATAAAATGACATGCATAAACCCTATAGCAGATGTCAGTGTCCCACCTCTGAGCAACTTTGGAGGTTACCAATAGACAGTTCACATACATGCCAACAGCTTCCAGTGTTTCTCTGCCTGGCAGTGATGGTTTGCTTGGCCCCTTCTTAGAGCAGACAGGAAGTCAGCGTCTCCAGGAGAGGCCTTCAGTGAGGAAAGGGATTCAACAGGTAATATCCCAGAGTCCTTGCCCCAGTGGAAAAATCCTAGGGTATGCCCTAGACAGTTTCTCAAGAAGTCCCAGCTGGACTGAGTCTCCAGTGCACTCAGTAGTAACTTGCTTATCAATATTCATTTCATTGTCTTTGGGCTTTTTTTTTCTTTTCCTTGTCTCACTTTCCTTCTCCCTTATTGCTAAAATCACTTCCAAATGATGCATTCTCAGATTGTGGTCTTAGGGCCTGCTTTTGGGGAAATCCAAACAAAGACAAGCATCAAACCCAGTGCCTGGTTCCTTGAAAGGGACCCAACCAGCACCATACAGGGTTCCTCCTAAGAACCACAGCCCAGAAATTATTTGAGTGGTTATTTTCTCAATCCTCCCAACAGAAGTGCATAATTTCTATCATGCTAGATGCATGCAAGAGACACTCATTCATGAGGAATGCCTTAGGGTGTTTGGGCTCCATTCTCTTGTTCAAACTCCATCTGTAAGCAAGTATGATAACGGCACCTACTCCATAGGGCTACTGCGTAAAACTCTTAGAACAGTGCCCGGTTCTAAGTTTTCAGCAAAAGTTAGCTGTTGGCATCACCCCCAAGGGTTGGTTGGTAGAGAATACGCACTGTCCTCCAGTATCCCAGCTTCCTTTTGCAATCAGCACCTGTGACTGCCCAGTCTCCCCCAAAACTAGGTGTGTCCATGTGCCCAAGTCCTAGCCAATGGGTTGTGAGAAGTGATACAGGCAAAGTCTGCATCAGAACCTTACAAAGAAGCTGCTTGGCCTCCATCTACCCTTTGCCCACTTTGAGACAGTTGAGAAATAATGGCAACTGGAACAGCTGCCTTGATATCAAAATATATGTTGAGGATAACAGAGCCACCCTATAAATCCTAAGTGGGGCCATTGTGGGAGGGATAAATAAGACCCCATCTTATTTCATAGTATTTTAGAGTTTTTCCTTCCAGTCACTTCTCCTCACTTAACCGATCCAGCCCAAAGACAAATATGGGGTCAGCAGATGTGAGATTTTGTCTTCTTTCTCTTATCCATTGTGTTGACCACGTGTCCAGCACTGTGCCAGAAACTAAAATCAAAAGATGAGCAGGATGCAGACCAAATCCCAAGGAGCTCAACGTGTAATGAGATAGAAGGATCGAGAGGCAAAAAACGCCAGCCTTCTGTGATAAATGCTCACACAAGTGTTGTGGAGGCAGAGAGGAGGGAGCAATTAGCTCAGGTCCTAAAAAGGATGGAAGCATTTGCCAGGCTATAGGGGAGGGAGTGGGATGGTGATGGGAGGCATTCCAGGGAGTGGTAACAGCACGTGAGAAATCATGAGAGATGGGGGTGATGCAGGGAAACATGGACATCTGAGCAAAACGAGCTCTAGGTCCGACTTTACCATTCACTGGCCTTATAACACCCTGCAGGCTCATGCTAGTATCCTGGGTCAGTTTCCATATCTGCAAAGTAGAATTAAAAAGTCCTGCTCTAACTTGGGCTTAGGGGTACTGTAAGAGCTCAATGATGGAGTGTTTAGAAGAGCTTATAAAGAATGGTGCAAATGCTAATCACTGGCATCATCACTTGTAAAGCTTAGTTTGGGATATTTTTGCATGTTGGTTACACTCAGCTTCAGGGAGGCAAATAGGCTCTGGGAGAGGAACTAGTGCTCCAAGGAAGGTGGCAGGAGCTCTGAAACTTCCCAGGAGAAAAACCCACTTAGCTTGGAGAGTGGTTCAACTTTCTTCATGGCTTTTGGGCAATGCACATCAAATGTCCTAAAATGTCCATTTTCTTTGACCAAGAAGTTCACCCTCTGTTACATGAAATGATACAAAAGAATTGCAAATTCTGCAGAGGTTCGTGCACAAGGTTGCATGCTGCAAACCTCTGCACCACATTCAGGATGACCTACATCTGAAGGGCCTGAGGTCCTTAGGCTTTCAGTGTGTTCAGCTGAAGTTTTCCACTGGGAACCGTCCTTCACCAATGGAGCAGCCTAAACAGAGACTATAGAACAAACACTTTGTCTATTTTTGGCATTATTTGATTATTTTTAATGACTGAGTAACATTCCATTATGTAAACATACCACATCTTCTTTATCCATTCGTCTGTCAGTGGACGTTTATTTCCATGTCTCGGCTATTTTAAATAGTGCTGCTATGAACACGGGGATATATGTATCTTTTCAAATTACATAATTTTGCCTGGGTATATGCCTAGGAGTTGGGTTGCTGGATCATATGGTAACGCTATGTTTTAGTTTTTTGAAGAACTGTCCATAGTGGCTGCACCAATTTACATTCCCATCAGCAGTCATAGATCAAAAGTTTGTTAAAATTGATTTTTATTGGAGTATAGTTGCTTTACAACGTTGCATTAGTTTCTGCTGCACACCAAAGTGAATCAGTCATACATATGCACATATGGCCTCTTTTTTTAGTTTTCCCTCCCATTTAGGTGACCATAGAGCACTGAAGCCCCTGTGATATACAGTAGGTTCTTATTAGCCATCTATTTTATACACAGTAGTGTATAGAACCCTGGAGAAGGCAATGGCAACCCACTCCAGTATTCTTGCCTGGAGAATTCCATAGACAGGGGAGCCTGGTAGGCTACAGTCAATGGGATCGCAAAAAGGTGGACACAATTGAGTGACTAACACTTACTTATTTAGTGTATAGCACATATACTTTAAAATGATCAATACTGTCTGGGTCGTGGGAGCACGGGTGATGTTCTGTATTTCTGTGCATTTCCAAGTTTTTGAGACAGACTCCATGTTACTGTTCAGCTCTAGTTTCCAGACCGTTTCCCCTCTGTCTCCCTCCGATTGCTCCCTCTGGGCATTTGGACTTGCGGTCCTTCTACCTGGAGGCCTCTGCCCCTGGAACACACCATCCCTCCCCCACCAACTTCAGGGCTTTGCTGAAATGTCACTTCTTTGGTGAGGCCTCCTTAGATCCACCTGATTTAAAATATAAGCCAACTCCTCCCCCAGCTCACAGTCCCCCCTTCCCTGCTTCATTTTTGTCCACAGCATTTGTTCCCACCTGACATACTTCGCATACCTACAACAGCTGAGCGCTGCTCTGAGGTGTTCCAAGCACGTGTGTGCTGTTCTCTCTGTGTGTGCTCAGTCTTTGCAACCCCACGGACTGTAGCTCACCAGGCTCTAAGTGTGTAGTAGGTGACTAACAAGTAGTAGTTAAATGGATGACTAAATGCATGAACAAGACCATTTCAGTTTCTTCTGGCTTCTGCCAGGTTCTCCTTTGGGGTGGGAGTGGGCACAGGCGTGGGGCAGGTGGTGGGAAGTAGCAGCAGCAGATGGGAGGGGAGGGTTACAGGAAGAAGGTGGGGCTCTTAAATGATGCCACACCGAAGGCCAGATACCAGCTTCTCTATGTTGGGGGGCCACGTGGCAAAGGGCTCTCAATGTGGCCCGCAGGTTGAGAGCAATATTTGTGACCAGAACATAAGGGCCCCAGGGCAGAGAGAAATAAACCAGGAAACCACCCTTACACACAAAGACCCAGGTTTTGAGAATACTCAAGAGAAGGTAGAGGCTTCCCCGGTGGCTCAGTGGTAAAGCATCTGCCTGCAATGCAAGGAGACACAGGAGACTCGAGTTCAATCCCTGGGTCGGGAAGATCCCCTGGAGGAGGAAACGGCAACCCACTCCAGTATCCTTGCCTGAAGAATCCCATAGACAGAGGAACCTGGTGGGCTGTAGTCCATGGGGTCACAAAGAGTCGGGCATGACTGAGCATGGACACATACGTACATACAAGAGAAGGTAGGAGCTATTCTCAAACACACACATGGGTAACCAGCCACAAGAAGGTGACCCTAAGAAGTTGCACTAGGTCTCCTGAGTAGAAGTTACAAGGGCTCCTATTTTGGTTTGGGGTCAAGAACTGTTCCCTTCTCCTCCCTTGCCACCCTCCATGAGGGCTGTCCAACAATGGCCAGAGTCCAGGCTTCACTTGTTCATGGGTTGAACTTTTAATCAGTGCATTCAACAGCTATCAATTAAGTGGATTTACTCTGTGTCAAGGGTCCTGCTTGGGACTTTGAAAGCAATGAAGACTAAACATTATTCTAATAAATAAATACATATACAACTAGAAATTGTGAAAGCACAAAACTGGGTTGCCAGAGAGAGATCTAATTCAGACAAGGGGTCAGGGACCTCTAGGGGACCTCTAGATTTTTGAGGGAGCCCAGAATGGTGAGCATGCCTCCAGCCAGTGAGATGAAGGAAGCCCCCCTCCAAAGGCCCTCAGAAGTAAGGAGTGACGTGTTAGAATTGGCGGGGACCTCAGCGCACTTTGGAGGAACAGGAGGTCCAGAGACTGGAAGTGACTTGCCCACAGACACAGAGCAGGTCGGTGGAGCCGACGAGAGTTGGACGATCAGCTGAGTCCCCTGTGCCACCTCCTGAAGTCAGATGTCCGCCTGGCTGCCTCACCCAAGAACTGTGTGCTATGGGGGCCACCCGCAACAGGGACGGGGTAGAAGGTTGGGGCGAGCTGCTGCCAGACCCCCGGAGGGATGGGGAAAGGGGTAGGGGCGGGTCCGATGACGTCATTTCCGGGGTACGGGGTATATAAGCGGGGCGCGAGCATGCCCCACTGCTGCAGTGCCCGAGCCCAGTGCGGAGGGCTGTTCTACAGACAGAGGCACACGGAGACCTTGCGCCACCATCCACCCCCCCATCCCGCGCCAGTGTCGCCGCAGCCCGTCCGGAGCGAGCAGTCCAGCAGTCCTTCGCCCGAGCGCGCTCCGTGGCCGGCTCCAGACCGCCAGCTGCTTGGCGCCCCGGCTTCGCCATGCGCTCCGCCGCGGTCTTGGCGCTTCTTCTCTGCGCGGGGCAAGGTGAGCGAGCGCGGGCCCTTGGGGGAGAGGTTCCTGGACGCCCCTGACTGCCCTGCGGTCCAGGCACCGCGCAGCGCCGCGTGCCCCTCCATGCCTTCCCTCCGGCGCGGCGAGTTTTCAGCGCCACGGACAGCGCCCCGCCTCCCACCTGACCCCGCAGAGTGGCCTCGGCGCAAAACCCGCAGACCTGACTCTTTGACTCCGACTCCCGACCCCGCGGGACAGGGCTCCCTGTCGCCCCCACCCCACGTCTGGGCTGCTTCGGGGCCAGCGCCGGCTCTGCGCTGTGGCTGGCCAAGGTCATTTGGGGAGATGGGAGGACCGCTGTTGGCTCCCCTGTTCTCCCTTCTTCCTCCTGCTCCCCACCGTCTGTCTGCCCTTGACTTCTATCTCTCCCAATCCTCCTCCTCCATCTCTTCCGCTCACCTCACTCTCTTTTCCATCACCTCTGGGTTCTCTGTGCCTCTCCCTCATCCTCCCCCCACCTCAGTCCCACCCAGCCACTGGCCTGTTTTCATAACTCTTGGCTTCTGCTCCCACACCCCCTCTAGAGCATAGCTTTCCCAAAGGGAAGGATTAAGGCTCTCAGTGCAGCCTGTGGGAGCCACCCCCATGAGGGTAGCAGTTGGGAAGGGAAATAAAACCAGCTCTACATCTCATTTGAGTGGGGGTGGTGTTAGGGAGGAGCATTGGGGTGAACGGGCCCCTGATGAACCCGGTCTGGAAGGACTGGGTTCTCCCCTCAGAGCAGAGGAGTGACCCCCGCTCTATTTTTCTTCCTAGTCATTGCCCTGCCTGTGAACAGCCCCATGAATAAAGGGGACACTGAGGTAAGAAGGAGCGTGGGTTTGCCCTGGGATGGGGGGGGGCAGAAGACCCCAGTGGACCCCTCAAAGCCAGATCTTGGGCAGCTGCAGGAGTCTGGCATCAAGCCAGGAGCCAGCACTGCGGCTGCTGAGCCTGGGGACAGCTTGCAAAAGAAGATGTCAAAGTCTGCTTGATTTCCCTGCTTGCCTGCTGCGGGGCCTTCCCCGGCCTCCTTTGAGCTGGGTGTGCAACCCAGCGGGACCTGTGTCTTACCCACTGGACCCAGGGGCCAGGCCCACTGTCTTGAACACTCCAAATCTTCTTGTAGGCCCGCCATGGGCTGGTGGGGGTGACTTCTCTGAGGTTGTAGTTGTCCACTGTCCTGTGAGAACAGTCTTCATCTGCCTGGCTCCGGCCTCCCCGTTTGCTCTTCCCCAAGGCTCTGCCAGCAATACACCCACCCCATCCCACAGTTCCTAAAACCCTGGCTCTCTCAAAGGACCACAACAAAAACATTCTTGATCATGGCTCCTGCACCCAGGCCAGTTGGGGCTTCTGGTGGAGGTCACCCAAGAAAGGACTTGGAAGACATTGATGGGGGCTTCTGTGGCCAGCAAGAGACACTCTGTGTTGGGCATATTCCCAAAATTGATTCACGTCTGAGTTGGGACTGTTTTTCCAGCTTCTGATGTTCACAGATATCTCCACTTGTGAATTAGAGAAATTCTACTCCCTGCCTTTTCAGGAACTGTTTTCTTTAGAGAGGCTATAGTTGAAATCCAAAGCATCAAAGAGATTTCAACCTCAATGTGCTCATTTAAAATTTCCTATTCACTAGTTACAGACAGGCCTAAATTGAAAAAACCGCTGCCACTCATTGTAGCTGTGTCATCTTAGGAAAAATCCCTTGAATTCTCTGAGCTTTCCCTTTTTTTGCTATAATGATATTTCCTTTGAGGGAAGTTGTAAGGAATGAAAAAAAAAAAGTAGCTCATTCATGTCTGACTCTTAGCAACCCCATGGACTATACAGTCCCTGGAATTCTCCAGGCCAGAATACTGGAGTGGGTAGCCTTTCCCTTCTCCAGGGGATCTTTCCAACCCAGGGATTGAACCCAGGTCTCCTGCGTTGCAGGCAGATTCTCTACCAGCTGAGCCACCAGGGAAGCCCTGGTAAGGAATAGGACTCCTGCAAATTGCTGACACATAGTTGGTCCTCAGTAAATAAGCATTTTTATTCATAGCCTAGAGCTTCCTTTCCTGACCTCCCCATCATTCTTGGGACCTATACCCAATTTGTCTCTCCCAGAATCTGTCCTCATGGACTGGTGGTTATCTGATATTCCCAGTGCAAGGTCTGTGGTTGCAGGAAGGGTGCAGGCTATAAGCCATTCCTTGCCGGATTCCTTATGGGAGACACTTTGGCCATCATATTTTCAGCTGCCTGGGTCAGAGACACCAGAGCAGCTGGTGAAGACCTGCATGTTCTATCTAGGATGCCATGACTACTGTAGAGCCTGTCTGCCAGTTTGCTATCCTGGATCCTTGAACGGGTTGCCTTGGCATCCCATAGACACAGCCTTCCACCCCCTCACTCCTCACTGTGTTGCCTGATGCTTGTCTGACACTTCCTGCTCCTCTGCCCAGCTCTAGGCAGCTGAAGCAGGCTGGAAATTGCGAATCCCTCCCTGACTGTGTCTGGCACTCCATGCGTTAGAGTATTCCCCCATCTGTGCCCCATCACCCTGGGAGGGGAGTCAGAAGGTCTTATCACTCACATTTTACAGAGGTGGAAATTGAGGCTCAGCGAGGTCAAGTCTCTTGCCCAAGATCACACAGCTAGGATGCCACACTACAGTTGGCACCATCTTCAAATATCATCCGTTTATCAGCTGTCTGATTATCCATAGCACCTTGCTGGCCACTGGACAAGACTTTCAGAGAAATGGCTGCTGTTGGCCTGGGATGGGCATCCGGATATAGTAGATGTATGCCCACATCCAGCCAGGGAATTCACCCGGTGGGTGAATATGGAGCCAGGCTGTGAGGCTGTCACTCCCTGCATGTGAGAACCCCACAGATATTTAGAGACAGTTTTCCAAGTCTTGTTTCCAGGCAGGAAAGAGCCAGGAAAGGTCTTTGTTCTCCTCTGGGTGGTCCAGAAAGGCTTCCTGGAGATGGCTGACCTTTGGGGCATCTACAAGACTAAAGTACTTTTGCAGGGCTACACCTCTAATGTCCAGGAGCAGCTTCCCCATTTGTAGAGAAACACTTGGGATGAGAGGGTGCAGGGTACCCACCCCCACTTTAGAGGGGCTCCTGCTGGCCAGGTAGTTGGAGTGCCTGGCACTTGGTAAGCACTGTGTGTGGATTTTTAGTATTACTGCTATTATTGTCTGGCTTAGAAAGCACAGCTGTGCCCCTGAGCTAGGTATCCATGGACTCCTGAAGACAAAAGTGAGCGTCATTATGTCCTCCTTAGAAATTTGCCTTGGAAGTGCCAGGGGCTGAGCTCCATGCCCAGACCAGCCCCAACTGGCCTCATTCTGTTCCCAGGTGATGAAGTGCATCGTCGAGGTCATTTCTGACACGCTGTCCAAGCCCAGTCCCATGCCGGTCAGCAAGGAGTGTTTTGAAACACTCCGAGGAGGTACGGGCCAGGCTCGGGGTGAGGGGCTGCTGCCTGCAGGGCTGGGAGGCAAGGACATGAGTATGTGGTTTTTGCTGGAAATCAACAATTTAATTAAGTAGTCACTGACCATGTGCCTACCTTAGCCAGGTCTGTGCTGAGGTCTGAGTGGTACAGAGAGATAAAGAGCTAACAGCCCATGTGTGCCTGGAGCTTAGTCTAGCAGAGGGGAGTGATATGAACACAGTTAACTAGAATTCTGGGCAGAATGAAACCAGGGCTGGGAACAGCAAGCCCGCAGAATGTGAGCTCCCTGTGGATGAAGATTTTGTGTGCTAAATCCCCAGGGTTGAGGACAACCACTGGCATCTGGGTAGCCTGTAGATATGTGATAAATAAAGGAACACCAAGGGCGGGTGAGCATGATAATAGCAAAGCTTTTGCAAGGAGGCAGTCAGTGTTGGCTGGATCCAACATTAGCATTAGGATTGGGATTTAAGAGAAAAGTGGGAAATCAGTAGGTAGCAAAATGAAGAAAAGGGTACTCCAGGTGAAGTAGACAGCACTAGCAAAGGCACAGAGATGCAAAAACAGCTTGTGTTTAGAGACATTGCTGTATCACTGCAGGAGATGCCATCTCTTGGCAGAAGTCTGGGTGCAGGGACAGTGGCTGACCTTCCTGATGCGATAGCAAACTTGGGAAGGAAGTCATTTCAGAAGTGTTATCTCCAGACCCAATCTTGCTGCTACCACCAGGGTTTTGAATTTCCAGAATAAATTCCTTGTGCTCAGCTGAAAATATTGATGGCAATCTCTTTCTTGGCTGTCTTCTGGAAACCACCCGTAACGACTCCCCTTCATTGCAGATGAGCGGATCCTCTCAATCCTGCGACATCAGAATTTGCTGAAAGAGCTCCAAGACCTCGCTCTCCAAGGTATTTTCCAACCACTGCACGTGAATCTGGGTGAATTCCAGTACCTAAGAGTCAGAAAAATGATGGTGGAAGGTTGAGTGAGGTCTTCTTTCTGATCCTCACTTAGCACCTTTTTGTTATAGGGTGGTAAGGTGGGGTCCTCTGTGCCACTTGGCCCAATCTATCATTCATACACTTAAAGAGATCAAGGCCCAGAGAGGTTGAGTAGCCTGTCCAAGATCACACAATAAGTTAAGGACATCCCAAGACCAGGTGCAGCTCTTCTAAAATCCTGTGGTCTCTGGAGTTCAGCCATGTTAGAGGGGACACTTTCAAGACTAGGTTACAGAGAGGACTTCTTTTCTCTGTTTAATGGGAAAGAAATTGGTCTCCAGGAGAGAGCAGGGGCCCCTTTGCCCTTATGAGCTTCTGCTCAAAGCAGAGATGGGAGAAGCAGAGTCTTGCTTACCCCAAAACACAGCCCAGACATCCAATGTGCTTTCAGAGTGAGGTGTGTCTTTCTCCAAGAGGTTAACAAAAATCTACTGATGCTGTTGGGAATGGAGTGATTTTGTGAGGTAGTGAGCTCCTTGTCACTGAAGATATTCAAGCAGAGCCCAGATAAGATGCTGGGAATGGAAGGTTAGGCTGATGTCATCCCACGGAGTTAGCTACTCTGCCCAGCCCCAGGCTGCTTCCCGGGTTCCTGTGCGGCACAGAAGGCCTCCCTGGAAGGAAATGGGTCCTGGGTTCTGCCCTGCACCTCCCTGAGGGAGGGGGCTATTTACTTGGGGGTGGGGACATGGGCTTTCTCCAGCCTCTGTCTGAGAATGGGCCCTCGAGCAGGAGTCTCGTATCTCCCTGCAAAGAAAGTAAAGGCTCATCTTCAGGGCTTGGCTTGGGTGGGGTGGGCTGGGGTGGAAGGCGCAAAGGCTGCCCGGGCTCAGGGAAGACCCCTACTCTGAGGCCTCTGGGGCAGACTGGGCCACATCTACGAATGGAGAGCGATTTGGGGGAAGAGGCAAGTGAAAATAACCACAGCTGGAAGGCTCCCTGAGGCCCTCCCCAAGTTAGCACACCGTTGTTCCTCTCACTCACTTGTCCTAGAAGACAGACATCCACTGCACGTGGTTGCCAGGATACAATATGGTAATTTTTTAAATTAATTATTGAATGACTGGCGTTATATTTAAATAATTAAATGTAATGTCAGTGAAGACTATGATAGGAAGATGTGTTCTGAAACATCTGTTTACACACATACACATGTGTGTGTGTTCAATATAAACGGTGTCCAATATATAGGTACATTGTTCTTTTATGTTAAAAGAGGATGAGATAAATCTACATGTTTGTCCATCCGTCCATCCATCTAGCTATCCACCGACTCCCTCTTCTGTATTCTCATAATGTCTTCTGCACACCTCTATCCTAGCATTTATGATGCAACCACCCTGTTTTATAGATGAGCACCCAAGTCTTGGATTACCCAGGTCACCCAAGGTCATAGAGCAAAGAATTAACCAGGAGGTGTGAACCTTGGTTGGCCAGGGTCCAGATCTGGGCATAATCCCTGGTCTACCTTCACCATGTCAGGCACCTCTGGCCACCCCAGAAATTCCCATCATAGGAAAACCAGCATTGGCTGCAGAGTTGGCTTGGCCAGGGCCACCATCAAGAAGCAGGGGTGGGTGGAGATGGTCAGAGGAGGCAGCGCAGCCTGGGCTGATGCAGGAAGAAGGGTCTTATGCTGACCTTGGGCTTGGATGCAGACAGGTGTTTGGCCTGGGCTTATGGGGGTCCATGGGGACAGGTGTTGCCTGAATCAGGAGCCCCCACGAGGGGACAAGCAGTCACTGTTGCCTCCTGCTGCAGGGTCCCCTAGCCCAGGGGTCCCCAATCTCTGGGCTGCACAGCTGGAAGTGAGAGCAGGCAAGCGAGTGAAGCATCATCTGTATTTACAGCTGCTCCCTATCGCTCACATTACTGTCCAAGCTCCGCCTCCTGTCAGATCTGCGGAGGCATTAGATTCTCTTTAGAGCGCGAACCCTACTGAGCTTGAATCATCCCCAAACCATCCTCCCATTGACCTGATCTATGGAAACGTTGTCTTCCACGAAATCAATCCCTGGTGCCAAAAAGGTTGGGGACTGCTGACCTAGCTACCAGCCAGGTCCTGAGGGTTCCCCACTCCCTGCTCCTGCTCCTGGAGCCCTCAACTGAGTCTTCACTACTCCATGAGGCAGCAAGCAGGGAGCGTTCTTACTTCGCAGGTGAGAAGTGGAGTCTGGAGAGGTGATGGGGTCGTGTGATGGGCCCTAGCTGGGAGGGGGCGGCGAGCCCTCCCCTCCCGCCCCCCGCCCCTGCCCCCTCAATCTCTCACTGGGTAGGCCCAGACAGGCCCAGTTTTACAGATGAGGAAAGAGAGGCCTCCATTCTCACAGCCAAACATGCGGGGCTTAGACCAAATGGGACACTTTTCTCGTTTTCTTATCCAGGAGCCAAGGAGCGGACACATCAGCAGAGGAAGCACAGCAGTTACGAGGATGAACTCTCAGAGGCGCTTGAGAAGCCGAATGACCAGGCTGAGCCGAAAGGTCAGTGCCGACCCGTCTGGCCAGAGACCAGGGGAAGGAGAATGAAGAGAACAGTGATTACAATAGACTGAGGGTCCCAAGGAGTCAGAAGCCCCTCCTTTGGGTCCTGGAAGGAAGCTCTTATTTCCTTCTCTTTCCAAATGGGGAAACTTGAGTCCCAGGGAGGTTGAAGCACCTTTCCAAGGTGTAACTGGAGATGGAACGTCTCACTCCGCAGCCCTTGGTGGGTCGTATCTGCCCACCCCAGGCGCTGGCACTCGGGCAGGAGCCCTGGCAGGTGGGCGGCTTTGACTCTTCCCAGTGGCCGAGGCAGTGCCTGTCCTCCAGGGAATTTAGTGGTTCCCTGGCATAGCCTAGGGGCAGCAAGATCCCAGAGGAGTAGGTGTGAAATACTAAATGAATCTCGATCATCTTTTTTTTTTTTTTTTTACTGCTTTGGGTTTTGGTTGCAGCATGTGGGCTTTCTCCTAGTTGGGGTGAATGGGGGCTACTCTCGAGTTGCGGTGTGCAGTAGTTTTAGCACACGGACTTAGTTGCCTCACAGAATGTGGGATCTTCTCAGACCAGGGATTGAACCCATATCCCCTGCACTGGCAGGCGGTTGCTTAACCACTGGACCACAAGGAAAGTCCTGGATCATCCTTCTTGAAAACAGAGAGCTTTTAGGGGTCACAGAGATCATGGTTTAGGTCAGAGGGATGCTCTGTTAAACTCACCTTTCTGGCTAGAAACAGTCACACGCTTGTCCTCGCAGCCCTGCTGTTTGCACGGGGAAGGTGAGTGAACAGGGCCATTTCCTCAAAGCAGGGACCTCAGCGGTCATCCGTCGGGGCTGAGAGGGGAATCCTGCCCGCGTGCCCTCACATGGGCCAGGGCTCTCACACTAGTGGCTGCTTGAGGCACGGCAGGGGCTCACATGTTCTGGTTCCATGGAAACGAGTGTCTGGCTGACCCTGGTTGTCTGCCATGGGCTGTAGGAGAGGGAATAGGGTAGCATTCACTGGGGAGACAGCCATATGTCAGTGCAAAGGGCACCCTGTACTTGGCATTCGGAGGTTTGGGTTCAAGACTCAGCTCTGCCATCTGAGCACAGACATGTCACCTTACCTTTCTAAGGGTTGGTTTGAGTTTCTGTAAAGTATACATGGGAGCACTTCCACCTGGAGTCCTGGAGTCAAATGGTGGAATGGACTTGGTAGTGACTTGTTCGACAGTAATCATTTCTAGCAATGGGAGGGATTTTTACTAGATGAAAAGCTGTCTTCAAAGCAGGTACAAGTAAATACCTTTTAATGAAAGCTGACAAATACTGAGGAATTGAATACTTTCACAGGACGCTCAAGATAGAATGCTTGCAGAAGGGAGAAGGACGTCACAGTAATGGTGCCCATTACACAGAGAGGTTAAGGAACTTGCCCAAGATCACACAGCAGTTCATCTGCTGTCTTAATTTTAAATTCAGGGCTCTAGCTTCTGGGGTCATTTTCAAGGGGTCATCACATCCTCCTTCGAGAGGTAGAATTACAAAGAAAGAAACACAGTCCCATTGTGCTGAGGTCAAACCCAGACATGGAGAGAGCAACCCTAATTATCTCATGTGTGTGTTGGGTTGGGCTTGCTGGAAGCCTAGAGATACAGTGACTAAGATCTGAAATTGGGCCCGGGGGAGATTCGATGTGCAGCCTGGTCCTCAGGGCCTGACTTTGCTCTGTTGTTTCTGTAGAGGGGACAGAAGAGGTGTCCTCCAAGGATGCTGCAGAAAAAAGAGACGATTCTAAAGAGGTGGAGAAGAGTGATGAAGACTTGGACGGAGACAGGCCTCAGGCCTCCCCAGAGCTTGGGCCAGGGTCCAAGGTTGAGGAGGACAACCAGGGCCCTGGGGAGGAGGAGGAGGCCCCCTCCAACGCCCACCCCCAAGCCAGCCTCCCCAACCCAAAACACCCAGGCCCGCAGGCCGAGGAGGACAGTGAGGGCCCCTCCCAGGGTCCAGCCAGCAGGGAGAAGGGCCTGAGTGCAGAGCAAGGGAGGCAGGCAGAGAGAGAAGAGGAGCAGGAGGAGAAGGGGGAGGAGGCCGAGGCTGGAGAGAAGGCCGTCCCGGAGGAAGAAAGCCCCCCCACCGCAGCATTTAAACCCCACCCCAACCTCGGCGGCAAGGAGACGCAGAGGGGTGAGACTGTGTTTGATATTTCAGACTTCAGCAGATATGTTGGGGAGAGGGGGATGAGTGGGAGGGCGGTGCCCTGATCCATAATCTCATTCCACCTTCTCAACAACCCTGAAAGGTAGCTATTATTCCCATTTGCCAGATGGGAAACCAAGGCTCAGAGAGGTTAAGTAATTTTCCCTTGGTCACACAGCTGATTTGTAGTAAACACAGATTCCATCCCAAGCTTATCTGGTTCCAAAACCCTGCATCTCTCAATAGTCCACGGAGCCCCTCTCCACCCCCAGGAGGGGAGAGGGGCTTTGCAGGGTGAGTGGGTGGGATTTGGGAACCGAAGAGCAGCATGATGGGAGGGAAAAGGCTGGTCTCGGGACACTGTTAGCCTCAACCAGGGATTAGGAAAAGGTCCTGGCTCCCCTTGAGGGCCTGGTCAGGGTCTTTCCTTCCTCCCCAGCCAGGCGATCCCTGGGTCGGGTCTTCTGGGATGAGAGGGCTAAAGGAAGAGGTGACTTGGAGCTTTAAGGGGTCTTGTAAAGCGTGGTGTCGAGGTGGCCTTTCCGTCCAAGGGGAGTCTGTTGTGAGAGGCTGAGCTGGACCGGGTGTACAGGGTCTGTGGTCACAACAGTGGCTACAGAGAGACTTAAGGGAGCGGCAGGGGCCGGGAGAGGTGGCAGCTACTCCCTTATTCTCCCGCTCTTGTCTACCAGCTGCTCCAGGTTGGCCCGAGGCTCTGGCCGTGGATGGAGCCGGGAAGATGGGGGCTGAGGAGGCCAAGCCCCCTGAGGGAAAGGGGGAGCGGGCACACTCCCGGCAGGAAGAGGAGATGGCAGGGGCCCCTCAAGGCCTCTTTCATGGTGGAAAGAGCAGGGAGCCTGAGCAGGAGGAGCAGCTCTCCAAGGAGTGGGAGGATGCCAAGCGATGGAGCAAGATGGACCGGCTAGCCAAGGAGCTGACGGCCGAGAAGCGGCTGGAGGGGGAGGAGGAGGAGGAGGACCCCGACCGCTCCATGAGGCTCTCCTTTCGGGCACGGGGCTCTGGCTTCAGGGGTCCTGGGCTGCAACTGCGGCGAGGCTGGAGGCCGGGCTCCTGGGAGGACAGCGTGGAGGCCGGCCTGCCCCTCCAGGTGCGCGGCTACCCGGAGGAGAAGAAGGAGGAGGAAGGCAGCGCCAACCGCAGACCAGAGGTTGGTACGGGGTGGGAGCCGGCCCCGGGCCCCGCTGGGGGGCAGCTGCACCCAGACGTGCTGCCTCGCATCCCCGAGGGGACACTGTCCCCTTGGAGTCAGGACTAGAGAGGCACCTGGATAGGGGGCGCTCAGGAGACTGGGAAGGCACAGGAGAAAGGGCATGTGGTGGTGGTGGGCACCCAGGAAAGCTGGCAGACAGGCAGACAGAAACATTCAGATCAGCACACAGAAGCTGAAGAGCTGGTGAGTGAAGCGGATCCTAGAGGCGCTGGGAGGGGCCTTTGTCCTAAAGGCAGTAGGGAGCCTCTGCAGGTTTGGAAGCAGGACAAGGATGGATGGCGTTTAGAGCTTTGAATGGACAGAGCTTTGGAAACTAAAGGACCTGGCGGGGGCTGGCCTGGGAGGGCCACTTGCTGCCTGGGGGAATCCAGGCTCGGGGCATCACTGGCCTTGAGAGCTAGGAGGGCAGGACAGGAGGGGACACTTAGGGACAGGTGGTGTCTGGGGAAGCCCTTCCATTGGCCCAGCCATACCCTCTCCTGACCTCCAGGCAGTTCAACCGCACCCTCTTCCCAGGTTCAGACCCTGCCTCCCGTCCCAATGGCAGAGTGGGGAGGATCTGGTGGTGACGGGTGGGGGAGGCATGGGCATGTGCCAAAAGACCGGGGGTCTACCTCCTCCTAGGCTGGTGACCTTGGCCTGGTCACTCCCCTTCTCTGAGCCTCATTGGTTCCCTCATTTGTGAAATGGGGGTAAGAAGTCCTTTCTGCCCACCTCATTATCATGATCAGAATGCACCCAAGCTTTGAAACCTTGGCCATGCCCAGGGCTACTTGGGAAGCTCAGAGGGGTGTGGAGACATGATACCATGGGAGGGGATGGGTTGGGACTTTGGGGCAGGCTGGCAACACCACCTTGGAGCGGGGGGCAGTCCTTGGTTCAGGCTTTAATTCTCGGGGGCATCAGGGCTTTTGGGGGGCTGGGGTGTGTCCGAGGCCCTGGCCCCAGTGTTCTTCTCTGCCCACCCAGAAGACAATAGGGCCCTTTCCTCGGGTCCCCAAACTGAGGGGCCTGGGCCTGGGCCCCAGCAGTCTGAGAGGGAGAAGACTCCTTGGCAGCTGGTGCCGAGTGGTCGTCTGCCTGTGTCCCCAGGGACTGAGGGGACAGGGCTTCAGGAAGCAGCCACTTGCCCCCGACCCTTTCCCAAGGCTGGGTACCTGTCATCACTGCCTTTCCCACCCTCAGAAGCTGGGGAGAGCCAGGGGCTCTGAGGGACTGGCTGGCTTCCCTTCTCCACGGGCAGAGGGGCCCTTGGACTACAGGCAGGAGAAATGGGGACCCGAGTCCTAAGGATTGGACAGGACAGGGCCCCCCCCGACTCAGCCCAAAGGTCTTAGAAAAAATGACCCCGGAATCACAGAACTCCTGCCTGGGGGGTTACTCCAAGATAGGGGCCACTAGGGTCCCCATTTCATTGGCAGCCATTGTCTGTCTCTTCTCACTGGGGCCCAGGTAGGGACTCCTGGAAAACCAGCCCTCTCGGTCAAAGCTGGGGTATGGCTGAGTCCTGCTGTGAATCTGAGGGCGTGCTTTTGTGGGTGTCCTCGCCTGCCCTGGACCGTCCTGGCAGCCAGAGCTTGGGGACCCAGTGACGGGGACGGAGGCTGGAGGTCCCGTCCAGGCAGTGCTCACGTCCTCAAGCCTGTGTGCTGGTCCCCTGCCCCTTGGGTAGGGAGGCCTGCAGTAGACAGGACACCCAGGCATGGCCTCACTCGAAGCCACTGTCACAGCCTTAGCCTCGGGCTGGGGGCCTCGAAGCAGCTCTGAAAGGCACCAGAGGCTTGGTGTCCCACATGCCTGCCCAGAGCCACTGAGGAGGAGGTGGGCCTGAATAAGAGTCCACCGGGGAAGGTATGAGGTCGGGGCACACACTCTTGCACGCTGGCTTCTCAGAGCAGCGCAGCAGGGCAGCTTCCCTGTCCCCATGAAATAGATGAGGCTCAGAGAGGCAAAGCCACCCATCCGAGGTCACACAGCTAAGCCGGGAGCCAGCAGGCTGACTGTGCGCTCCACGCTCCAGCGCCCGGGTGACTGGCTGTTCTCTCCTAGGACCTGGAGCTGGAGAGCTTGTCGACCATCAAGGCGGAGCTGGAGAAGGTGGCCCACCAGCTGCAGGAGCTGCAGCGGGGCTGAGGCGCCAACTGGCCCCACCAGCCAGGGCCCCGGGACACCCCGAGGGCCCGGCTCTGTTGTCCCTCCTGCAGGTCCCGGCCAGACAGCCCCGGGTGCTGCTTCTGGGAGGGAGGCTGCCCCCAACCTGCCCAAGCCCAGCCCACCCTGTTGCCCCCACGCTCTTTTCCTCCTGCTCCTGACCCCTGCCCCAGTGTGCCCCTCTGCAAGGCAGACCCCCTGCCTTTCAACGATTGTCCTGTCTCTGAACACAGACAGCCTTCTCAAAGTTTCCCTTCCACCATTAGAGCCACTGGGCCTAACTGCAATAAGTACTGACCTTTAGGTGAAAGCTGAGGACTCCTGACTATATTGTGTATGAAATTTATCTAAGGAAAATAAATCTGCTCTGGGCTCTTTCCTGTTTCTCTGAACTTCCCCCATCTTGACTCCAAGTGGGGTGGGATGGATGGATTCAGGCAGAAGGACAAGGGGAGGTTCAGTCCCCCTGGGGTGACTCTGGGCTGCTTTTCAGTCCGGGGATTGGAGGGCAAGTGACACTGCTGCTCAAAACATCTGTTTCCTCATCTGTGAAGTGGGGGTGCTGACACCTGCCCCAAAGTGCATGTGGGATTAAATAACACTTCCCCCATCTGCCAGCCATACGTGAGCCGGGTCAGGCAGGGACGGGGGCTGGTTAGGGAAACAGCCTCTGCTCTGTGCTGGGTAGAGGCCCTGACAGCCCCAGGATAGTACCTGCCACCAAGGCCAAAGGCCCAGCCAGCTCTGGACTTCCTGACTCAGGCCTCTGAGCTGCAGACCCCTCCCTCGGCACAAATCTGTCATCTCCTCTGACCTGATACATGCACGGGGCTCTGGGGCATTTGAAGTTCAATGGTTCACTATAGCACGGTAGTCTTAGTCTCAGCTTTGAGAACGATGAAACTGAGGCTCAGAGGATGAGATGACTCATCAAAATCTCAGGCAAGAGTGATGCCCCATACATGTAACCACAGGGGCTGCAGGATTATGAATCAGGACAGGCTGATCTGCTGGACTGGAGTGGACCAGCTGATTATCAGGGCCAATCATTCAGTCATTCATCAAATGCTTGTGAGCCGCTGCCTTGAGCCCGGCAGGCCTGGGCACACAGAAATGGCCTAGACGAGCCCTGACTTCAAGAAATCCACCGCCTGCAGAAGGTGGGTTTTGACATCAGACTGCAGTTTGAATCCCCAGCCTAGCTAGAGAGTTTGGATGAGCATTTCTTGTGCTCTTGCAGCCTCAGTTTCCTCATCTATAAAATGGGGATACTTTTTAGCTTCTCATCAGATCATGGCAAGGATTTGAGGGGTCTAGACAGCCTGGACCAGAAAACCATTGCAGTGATGACACAAGTCGTTTGAGGGGTCTTGGCAAGTCTGTGCCTCTCCTAACCTGGCGAGTGGGCCCACTGCTGTTGACGCCTGTCTGTGAAGCACAGAGGGACTCTCCCAATGAGCTGGTGCCATGAGGTGTTTATTCACATTTCAATGAGACAAGTTTATAACCCACCCCCCCACAACCCTGACAGTTATCGAAATAACAAACATGACACTAACTGTATTCCACTAGTCAACTGTCAGCACATCCACCTCCAGGAACAGTTAACAAATAAAGAGAACACGGACACTTCGTCCCTGAAATACCCCTTCCCGGAGACAGGCCACCTGTTGCTATCATCACTTGGAGAAAATATGCAACTGAATCAAAAGAGCCAGTGGTTCTTGGTTTTTACAGAAGCGATGATTTTATAGACAGTATGTATAGATTCATATAAACATTATATACATACATGTGTACACAAATGGAAGTACAAGTCAGCTTGGGGTTCTGACAAGCATGGCTCGAGAACGGGATCGAAACACGTAGCATTTGTCAAAAGCACAGGTGTCAGCTTTTGAAACTGGAAACTGAAACTGGAGCTGCCAGCGTCTTGGGAGCAGCTTTCCCAAAGAGCAAGCCTGCTGCAGCGGACTGGGGTCCACACCTGAAGCCGAGGTGGGTTCAGCTGTGGGAAGGAGACAGTCCCTTCCAAGTCACCGGATTGTGGACAACTGGATGTAGAGCAAAAATGCAACCATTTCCGGAAAAGGCCCCAGGTGGCCTGGACGGGACCTGGTGGTGGGAACCAGAAGAGGGCCTGGTGCTTCCACGCCAACAGGCAGCTCTCCAGTGAACAGCGTGTCGGGGGAGGGCCATTCCGAGGCAGGGGTACCGAGCCTGTGTCGCAGAAGGTACGTCCAACGACCAGCGGGAGAACCACCTGTCTGGAGGCCTCTGGGGCAGCATCTCAGACTCAGGACTCTGCCTACAGCACTGGGCGTGGCCAGACCCCCCGAGGGCGTGGCCAGGCTCCCCGAGGGTGTGGCCAGGGCCCCGAGGGCGTGGCCAGGCTCCCCGGGGGCGTGGCCAGGGCCCCGAGGGCGTGGCCAGGCTCCCCGAGGGCGTGTCCAGGCCCCCCGAGGGCGTGGCCAGGCTCTCAGAGCCGGTAGATGCCCAGAACCTTCAAGGCTGGATGCACTCCTCTGTCTTGTGGTAAGCCACGTTCAGGGGGTGTGTTGCTTCAGGACACTCTGCTCAGGATCTCTGGAGCACGGGGGCCCTTGAGCCGTGGCCCAGGAAGGGAGAGGAGCTATCGGGGGTCCCACGGGGTGAAGGGTCAGTCTCTAGGGCGAGAGGACAGGGCAGATGCAAACCCCGAGGATATCAGAGGAGCCATTCAGTGGGTTCTCTGTGGACAATGTGCTTCCCTGAGCCAAGGCCCAGTCCCCCTCGCAAGAACAATGCATACAGTCTCCCTTGGTCTCAGAGGGGCCGCCTGGCAGACAACAGCTGCTCTTCCCAGCTGGCTTGAAAACTACAGCTTCCTGCCAGGATCCTTCAATCTGCCATAAACCATATTTGGCAGTGCTCTGGATAGAGAAGAATCCTTTCTCAAGGTTGTTTTCTCCCTCACTGATGGGATTAACTTAAACAATACCCCCACATAACTCCTCAGGAGACAAACCTAGACAGCATATTAAAAAGCAGAGGCATTACTTTGCCAACAGAGGTCTGTATAGTCAAATTTATGGTTTTTCCAGTAGTTATGTATGGATGTGAGAGTTGGACCATATCAAGAAGGCTGAGCGCAGAACTGATGCTTTTGAACTGTGGTGTTGGAGAAGACTCTTGAGAGTTCCTTGGACTACAAGATCAAGCCAATCAATCCTAAAGGAAATCAGTCCTGAATATTCATTGGAAGGACTCATGCTGAAGCTAAAGAAAGTTCCAAATACTTTGGCCACCTGATGCGAAGAACTAACTCCTTGGAAAAGACCCTGATGCTGGGAAAGATTGAAAGCAGGAGGAGAAGGGACAACAGAGGATGAGATGGTTGGATGGCATCACCAATTCGATAGACATGAGAGTTTGAGCAAGCTCCAGGAGATGGTGAAGGACAGGGGAGCCTGGCGTGCTGCAGTCCATGGGATCGCAGAGAGTTGGACACGACTGAGCAACTGAACAACACACTCCTTGGGACCTCTGACTGTGTCTGCCTCCTGCGGGTGATGCTGAGGAACCTCTCATCCAACCCTACTCACCCCCCACCCCCCGCAAACTCAGACACCTTCATGCCAGTGGCAACTCCTGCCAACAGGCTCTCTTGGGGAAGACAGACATCCAGCACCCACACTCAGTCGGGGCTTGAGTGCGTGTCAAACCACATTACGCTGTAACCTGCAAGCAGAACTCGGCCTGTGGCCACTGCTCCAGGCTGTGCAGGGCAGAGACCTTGCAAGGGACCCTTTGAAGCGACGCGAGGCCTCAGGCAAAACGTGGTCCTGCACTTGCTCCCGGAGCCTTTTGAGTCAAAAGGGCCTTCAGCAGCCCCGGCCACGGACCACAGCCAGAGATGCCACAGGGCCAAGGCCCCAACAAGCCCACCAACTAGCAAACAGAAGCTGGGGAAGGAGAGTCCCAACACCCCTGCCCCCGACCCCCAGTTTGCCAGCAGTTTACCAGCTGCTCACCAGAGCAGTCCCTCCCATGGGCCCTCGAAGGTTCTGAGACTGATCAGAGGTGGCAGCACCAAGCCCTAGTGAAGAAAAGGCTGCAAAGGCAGAGAGCATTCTAGGCAGGTCTGTCTTCCCCTGGCAGGATGCCCCAAGGCCAGGGACATTGAGGCCGAGGGGGAGACCAACTTCCTGGCGTGTGTCCTGGGACCCGGTCAGTGCACCCGGTAACACTGAAGTGGGGGTCACTTGCTGATGCCTCGTGCTGCCCACAGCCTTGTCTACACTCCCTGACGCAGCTTCCTTCACCCCTGCAGGGTCAGCTACTCTTTGTTAGATGGGGTTCACCAGCTGGGGAGAGGCCCACACACGCTCTCGAGTAGACCGGTCCCTTCCCCACTGCTGTGCAGTTCCTGGGCCTTTATGAAGCCGACCCTCATCCTTGGGTTCCACTCCTGGGAGAGGCAGTCACCCTGCTGGCCACCTGCATCGAGGCTGGTGGAACGCGCCACGTCACTGGGAAAGTTCCTCAATATCTGGGCCCTGGATGCTAACATGTGAGACCCCGCGGGGGAGGCATCAATTAATCTGGACATGACATGACCAGGGCCCCGCCAGGCGCGGGAGTCACCCTGCACTCCTGATCTGTCCTAAGGCGATCAGGACTGGGATTTTATTCCAAAAGTCAAAGCTGTTTTATTAAAAGACGGCAGGAGGACAGAAACTTCAGCAACGTTTTGTAAACACGTGTGAAATGCAGTTTGATTTCAGTAGTTTATTTTGGAGACAAAGCAGTGCAAGAGGCCGACCACGCTTTCCTGCTTCCCCTGGAGCTCGGGGGTCAGACGAGGAAAGGCGACGTACAGACATTATAATCGGGGTTCAACACTCAAGTCGTGTAAACACGGTTGTCGGCGGGCCCTTGATTTCTAGGACAAGCTGGCCAGTTATGAGGGCAGCGCCCCTCACCCCAGCCCTTCCTCTCCTAGAGGCAGGCGACCCCTGTGTCCCTACTGACCAGGCCTGAAGGTGCCCCCGAACGCCCGGCTCAGCAGCTTCTTTCATGGCACCCTCCCTGGACCTCGCACGACGGCCCAGAGGCCTGTTCCCCTCCCTCTGAGTGCCTGATATCTGAAGACACACGCTCATGCTTCAGGGGGTCTGCTGTTTCCCACCGGGTGGTCACACTGACAGGACCTACCAAGCCCCTCACTGGTCCCCTTCTCTGCCAAGGGGGCTGTCTGCCCGCCTGGACTGTGGAACTGGACTGATTAGCCAGTGGTCGGTTGGTCTGCTGCCATCAGGGGCTGGGGGCTTGGACGGGAGAAGCAGGGAACGTTTTCTCACCTCTGGGGCTGCAGCCTGCTCGCCCCTGGCTGGCTCAGTGCT